CAGAAAAGAAGGGAGAGGGAGAGATAGAAATGATGAGAGAAAATCACTGCCTCCTGCACACCCCACTCTGGGATCGAGCCCAAAACCCAGGCATGTGTCCTGACCAGGAATCACACGATGACTTCCTGGATCATAGGTCGACATTCAACCAGGAGCCACGCTGGCCAGGCATGATGCTGGATCTTGATTAGTCCCCTGGTCTCAGGTAAGGGTCTCCCAGCTGCCCACTTCCTTGAAGACAGTGGGGTTGAGTCATGGCTCCTTACAGTAGCTGATCCCAACAGAAGGGCAGCATGGTTAGAGCGGGAGGTCTCTCCCTTGCTAGTTCTATGAGCTTGGCAGTCCTGTGGCCTCCTGCACCTCAGTTTCCCCCTTGAGCAGTAGCTAGAACTACCAGTTTCCTGGCCAAGTTTAAGTGAGCCGTGAGAGCACCGTGTTTTACATGGAACTCTGACAGTAAGCTCAGTGCTGTGTCCCAGGCCCATCCCCTTTGTCCTTAGGAAACAGATTTATGTCAGCTGTTTCCTTGGCTCAGGAGCAGCATTCGGGAGGGCAGCTGTAAGAAAGTGAACCCTGTTTCCCATCTGTAGTGGTTTGAATTGTGGCTCCCCCCGAAACAGGCCAAGTCCTAATTCCCAGGACCTGTGGACGTGACCCTATTTGGAAATAGAATCTTGCCAGATGTGATTAAGTGAAGGGTCTTTAGATGAGACCTTCCGGGGTTTAGGGTGGGCTCAGAGTCCAATAACTGATGTCCCTGTGACGTGCAGACACAGAGGGGAGCCCTGTGAAGACAGAGGCAGGTGGGCGCCGTGTGAAGACAAGCTGAGGAACGCCAAGGGTTGCCAGCAGCCCCTAGAAGCCCGGAGAGAAGCCTGGGACAGATTCTCCCTCAACGTCCAGAGGAACCAGCCCTGTCAAGAGCCTTGATTTGGGACTTCTGTCCTCCCTAAGGAGCCACTTTTTGTTTTCCAAGTTATTAAGTTTTGTTGTTTCAAGTTATTAAGTTTGCTGTAATTTGTTAGGGCAGTTAGGAAATTAACACAGCGTTCAAGCTGAGGAGCCTTGGCAAGAGGGCCTGGCAGTCCGCTGGGTCACTTGGCGGTTCCCAGGCCCATCGTCCTTAGGACCATAGCCTCCCTTCACTGTCAACACTCCCTTTGTCAGCGTGCGGCACAGAGCTGCTGGGCAGCAGCATCGTATTTTGACACGGGCGTTCCTTTCTCACACCCCCACACGTGAAAACAGCGAGAGCTCAGCGCCCTGGTCCTCACACAGTGCTGCCCATTAGGATTGTCTGGGGAGTTTCTGAAGACCCCACAGCTAGGCTGCAACTCATACATATTAAAACAGAAGCTGAGTATCAGTTTTTGAACCCCCTCAGATGCTTTTAGTATGCAATCAAATCCAAAGCCAGTGGCTTAAAGACCCTTCTCCCTTCCTGGCAGCCAGAC